ATTTCACTTTGACTTGTCACTGCAAATAATATCTTTACTGTGTTAAAATTCCATTAGTTTCAGTGGCCCGATCACATAACCCCAGCTTTTTTTAACGGAAGTAAAGTCAATGTACCACATTATTGAGATTGGAAGTAAATGAGTTGTGTCCATGTAACTGATTTAAGTAAATATATCTAACAATGTAACACTCTTCAATGAGGGCACTGGCAAGAAGTGTTTCAAGTTAACCCACAACTTGTGTCATGGCTTTGCCTACATCATTAGATTTGTTGAGTGTAATGATCCATTGTTGTTATTGTTGTTTTATCTAAATCAACTTGAGTTTTATTTCTGTGCAATAATGAAGATATTGTGTAGGTTTCTCCAAGGAACTCTAATTTTCCTTTTTTCACAAGACCTCAAAATCAATTACCAACCAATAAAAGTGTGTAACTGAGATGAACCCAGTGAAATAATCAAACTATGTTGGTGCCACCTAATCTTTCCCCCTATCAAAAACATAGTTTTACTTGTTATTAATCAACTAATCCATGTGAGGGATAATATTGCCTTAGGAGTACAGTATGCAGATCTCATAAAAACTAGGAACCCCCACATATTTTACCAAATGATAGCCTTTACCTTTGTGCCCATTAAACCAATTACAGTTACTCTTTTTTTTCTGAATTATTTAAAGTAAAATGGAAAAAAAAATACACATTTAACAATGTTGGACAATAAAAAAAAATAAACAAAATTTTTATTTATCTTGACATAGAACATTGAAAGTCATCAGTGAAGCTGCTTCACTCTTTGGGTGTAAAATAGGTAAACATTGGTTTGGAAATAGAGTAGTGGATGAATGCAACAAGTTACCAAACATCATCATTAATTCGAATATGCTGGATAGCTTCAAACATAAGTTGGATAGATATATGAGCAATAGGGGTTGGGTGTAAATGGGACTGACTGTCCAGTATGGGCCAATAGGCCTGCTGCAGTTTCCTCCATTGTTATGTTCTTATGTTTAATGTTTTCTACCTCTTGCTTCTCATGTTTTGTATCAAGTATTGTTCTTAGGAGTTTCATCTTTTATAAACTCACTTTCAATACTTTCTTCCAAATCAGAATGTTCTGAAAGCAGTCCCTTTCCTTTATCCTTCTCTTCAATAGATAGAATAATGTTACTGTTGTCAGAGTAGGGAAGACTTCAGGTGTACCTACCATTCAGATCTTATTACATGCTACCTTTCACTCTTGGTGCCAGGGTATGACTGAACAGATTTACAATACACTGTCTGGTAACTCTGTTGACTGACATAAAAACAATTTTGGTCATGTGGTAAAAAATCCTAATGTTACATGGGGAGGTTAGGTTGGGTTATGATAGATTAGATTAACATAGGTTAGTTTGGGTTAGCATTAGGGTATTTAATCATCAGGTGAAATAAGTGGGGTTCCTAATTTTCATGGAATCTGAATTTATTGATTGGAAGAGTAGTTACTAAGGAAAAAAATGCAAAGGATGTAATGTGTTGAGTAAAGAGTTCTTAAATGTGTTTATATATCAAAGAAGCTTACTTAGTCATTATAGGGTTATGTAGGTGTTTCATTGTGGAGCACATCCTTCAATATTTGCATAAAAAAAATTCACAGGTTTTTTTATAGTAGAATTGATATTAATTTTCAATTATTAACATAAGTTGGTTATCAATTCACCACTTCTTACTTTGTTGACATTTAATATGTTGATCATAAATCAAAATTGTCTTGGTTTTCTTACTCATGAGCATTATTGGCCTAATCTACAGTTCTCTTTTAATGACTGATATTTTTACATTCTTGGATGGCTACATTTAGTACATTGATATACTGTACTGTATTTAGCTCAATAAAGGTTCTATGACTTCTTTTTCAAAATAATTGAAAATAAATATAACCATTGTCAACCAAGAGACAGAGTGATGGAAGATACTAGTTAGAAAACTTATATCAGGGAAGCAGAAGGAGATGGTGTTTGAAATTGATCCATCAAATATCAGTCATTATCATTGTTGTTGGGTGTGAAGGATATTTAACTCCTCTTATGGTTTCCAGCTTTATGACGCTTAACATACTTTTTTTTTTTTAATAAATAAACATTTTATATTTATAACATGGAAGTTTCTGCACGAGGGAGTATGCTTGGTGGTGGAAGTAAAATGGCTTGATAATGATAGCATGTAATTGGTACACACAGCATCCAGTGCTACGGTGCTGAAGGTGGAAACAAAACAGGCGCCAAGAGCAAGCAAAGCACAGTCTGTCGTCCTGAGCGATGGTCAGTAGGGTTTCAAGTTTCTCTGCTAATGAGTAGTGTGTGGGATGCGTCCACTAAAGCTGATTGATGATGGTGAAACTTGGAAGGATATATCGTCCATAACACCCACCAGTATTCTTAAACCACCACAGGGTCTTCAACTTTTGATGAGATATTTCAAATCAGTACTTGGAGAAATATTAAGGATTCAAAGAGTTTTACTCAGATTTATTATATATACTGTGTATATATATATATATATATATATATATATATATATATATATATATATATATATATATATATATATATATATATATATATATATATATATATATATATATATATATATATAATTTTTTTTTTTTTTTAGGGTTATACAATACACTCAGCATATGATAAAATAAAAGAATATTAGAAAATTAGTTTTTATATTAAGGTGGTTTAAGAATTCACAAAAAAAGTCTTTGAGGGCAGACATCTCTCTGGATGACTCCCCCCAAGATCACCATTGTGTAAGACTCGTCTCTGCGTTTCTGCTGTGTAGTCTTAAGTTCTGTATGGCTGCTTTTGTTCGTGTTTCTACATTTATCCCCCAAATTGTAGCTTTAGCTCGCAAGTCCGTAACTGACACCTGGTACTTGTTTTAAGCATGATGGTCAACTTGAGGATTCATGTAATGTCTGTTGGAAATTATTTTTTTTTTTAGGTAATTTCTCTCAGTAGCTTGTTTAGATATTTAGTTTAATACTAATTACTAACATAGTTTGTAATTTAAAATTAACTGAAACATTTGGTATTGTGTTCATTTATTGAATTTGATATACAGTAGATTAGTACTTACTTGTAACAACTTATTTTTTGTGTAATATGTGATGGAATATGTTCCATTATCACATGTAGCATAAGAGGTAATTAGAGCTGTTAAACCTTTGTACATACATTATTGGTAATATTCTTTAAGTTAAAAAGTGATGTATAGAACTTTGTTACCTCAAGAATTGTTTTCTAGTTTTGTTGAAAAATATTTAGTATATTTTATTACCTCTATTTAATATTTGGAATTTCTAGTCACTTGATGCATTCCCTTCCCTCTATAGATATTGCTGTAGTACAGTACTCCCTCCCCAATGATTTTATGTCATATAATAGATGGAGAACGGGTTGTTCGCCAAAAGCCAAGTCTTCCCCCTAAACCCAACATTCCGAAGAAGCCCACCCTGGGCCCTGGGGTACCTGTTGGCCCTCCACAGAGGGTTCAGGCAACTATGAAAACACTGCCAGCGAGAGGTAACCTGCAGGACCGAGTGCAGGGACCATATTAAACTACCATATCTGATACTCACTGCTGTTACCTTTAATGTCATGGGAATATACAGTGTTTATATAACAATCATTATTTTTACAAAATGATCACTTTCAGTGTGTGTGTATATATATGTACACACACACACACACACTGAAAGCTCTCATTTTGTAATAATAATGATTGTTAAATGGAGCTTTATGGATATTGATTTGTCAGGTCAAATTAATTGAGGAAGTCATTATTTTGTTGGCAGTCAGTATTGGACATGGATACTACTCTGTACTGGTACCTCGCATAGTGTGGAAGTGTGGAATAATCCCTTTTCTTCTCTGAATCAGTTGTTGCTGTCAACTATGAGAACTGATGATATACAAGACTAATTCATTTGACTGTTGTTGATGTTTTGTGACATTTATTATCACTAAACTTTTACTTCCTGCTAATGATCCATGCTTTAAGTGTATTTAACAACAACAACATGGTTGACAGTTTTAGGTACTGGAATTCAAAGTAAGACTTACTGAGGTTTTCCCTCAATTACCTCCAGCAAGGTAGTCATGGCCAGTGTTTGTGAGGTGTGCGGGTGTTGTTAGCCTGGCCGGTATTTTGTGATAATATCCCTCCCCCAGATGGCTCCCCTGTAGAAGACCTGCAGCCCTCCCTGCAGACAGGGGGTGGAGTCTGGCACCAGGGGGAGATGACACCTCCCTCTGCTCCCCCTGGTTCAGACACATTGTCTCGCTCCCCCACTGTCCAGGTGGGTGAGGGCCATCCTACTTCCCGCACCAACTCCCTCACCCGTGGAATTCAGAAGATGCTAAAGGCAGCATCACGGTCCAGTAAGACCACATCCATGTGTACCCCAGCTGCACACTCACTCTTAAATGAAACTCTATCACAGTTTTGGCTGAGGTTGCTCAGAACAACCAGAATTATGAGCCAACATAAACTTTTCTTATTAAAATGATTTTCAAGTTCAAATTCAAAAACCTGTGGCCAGAGCGGTGTTAGACATGCCTCGTGTGCCTAACTAGTAATGACCTAATTGATAGCCTGGTGCTCGTGGTGAATAGATGGGGCTCGGCTTGTTAATTTAGACCTATGTTTCTTACACCATAACAAATTCTATATCAGGTTTCAAGCTAATATGGGACTTAACTTATCTCTGCCCCTAGAGTGCTTTGTCTCATTTTGAAGTGGATTTTCAATTAGTAAGAATTAATATACAATATACCTTTTTTGTAAATTATGTACAGTATAGTACTTCATTATAGAAATGAAAAAATCTATTTGGAAACAGTGAAGCTTATTTTATTTCTTTTTGCTGTAACTTTTATTAGTATTAAATGCTTCAATGCTAGTGTTCTGGTGGATATTTTTTGGTGTTTGAATATAAAAAGTACAACTTGAATTTAGAACTTCTCTACTAAGACGACATTACTCTGGGGGTGATACTTCTTGGGGACATTTTAATTAGAGATCTGCAGGGAAGCTTAGTATATACAGGGTGTTTGATTTAGTCTGAACTCCATCCTAGATCTTCCACATATGTAGTTACTAAGTGCAAAACTATTTCTTTATTTTAACATTCAGCTATTAGTTTTGGTTAGAAAACAAATGTTTTGGTGGTGCTTGTGGTTCATATGTTAACCCCTTCAGACATCCCATGTGATAACTAACAGTGTGTTAAGGGTATGGTGTGTTCTAACAATTTTAATTACACAACCAAAGCTTTGTATTATACCACAGAAATATATAGCTACAATACTTTTTTCAAGGAATTAAAAACTACTTGTAAATTGGAATGTGTTGTTGTATATAAGAAACAATTTATAAATATATGTAATGTTTATTTTCACCATTTTTGATGCTCTTATTTATGGGAGTACAACATCATGTCTGCAATATGTGGGTTGACATTGGTAAGATTTGGGAATGATTCCACAAATATCAGTTTTTTGTCTTGCAGGATTTGTAGGTGATGGTGTTGTATTTGACTGTTTGTACTATGTGCATGATTCATGTTCTGTATGTGCATGAATGTTGGTTGTGTTGAAAATTTGAGTAGATTGATATGTCGAATTATACATTTTTATTTGTTGACTTAGCATGTGATTTTTAATGTTTTGAATGGCATGAGCATTTGAGTCAGTTCATGATTAACCTTTTGTAATAAACTTTTGTGTAGTTTAGTTTGTTTGCTAACTGAAGTTTGTTTGTACTGCTCCTTGTACTAGCAGAGGAAGATGGAGTGAAGGCACGGGAGCCAAGTCCCACGCTGGAGCGATCCAAGTCTGCATTTTATAAGAATGAAGGTACTTGTATTTAGGTTTCAATTAGTTAATTTATGATACTAAAGATGTTTTTTTTTAATTTGGGTTATCTTCATGTAATTATAGAAGTTAGTAATAATTCTTAATTGGTCTCATTTCAACAATATTAAATTAAGTGTTGCCACCATAAAGACAATTTACAGGTGACAGACATATTCTTGGATAGTTCTTTCTGTGAATAATACAGCGATTAAAATATTGTAGTTCAGTATATACGGTGGTAAGTTTAAATGATTTTTTAACCAAGTAGAAGACAAATTTCTTGTAGTTTAGTAAACACATAATTTTTAACTTCTCTTAGTCATATACAGTAGTCTTAAATCTTACTAACATATATAGTAATTTAGTGTTTTGCTGAGTTTTCAATAATTTAGTGCCTTTATTCTAGACAACTTTAAAATAAAGTACAGTTCTTTTTGAGTTGTGTCTTTGCATTTATTGCTATCAATACAGTCTTTGCATCTTGGCTTATGAATGTAGTTTTGTTGTGTTCATATTCTAACTCAAATTTTGGCATCCACATGCATATTCACTGTGATCTGTATTCACTTCGTATTTTGATTTGCAACCTGCATGGCATTAAACTAACCAAAAATGCATGTTGTTTTTGTGGTCTGGTTGATCAGTGGCAACTGAGAAGCGGTCATCGCTCCAGCGCCGCTCCTGGTCTCTGTCACGCAAAGGTAAGGGCCAGTACCATGACCAGTCATCCATTTATTTTGGCTGATCTTTATAACTCTTAACTAATCAGGAAGGGTATTATGCCTTTATAATGCAGGAAAATTTAAATATGTACACAAAATCTTTCTCTTGGTTTCAAGATATTCTCCTATGCCAGAGGTTCAGATACTAATTTTCTCATTTTTCCTGTAAATAGCCTTTTATCCTTGAAATATTCTCAAACACACTGTTGTTGCTGGCCGTCCAATTGAAAAAAGAAATCAGTTTTGACCATAATATAGTTGTTTTGAGTGTTATGGATATACAGCATTTAGAAAGAAATAATTATTTATTATTTTGTTCTTATTTATGGATTGACACTGACCCATATTGCTTTGTTCATCCATTTCTTTGTCTTGTTTCTTCTATTTGTTTTATATTCAGTACATCTTCTATCTAATTTTTTCATTGAATGTATATGCAGTACTTATACTTTCTGCAGCAACCTCTAATTCTGTTTTCACATTTGCTGCAGCAAGTATACAGTACAATGAAAAAGTTGTTGAAAGGGCAATTGAGAAATTGACACAATTGGTCTCATCCATTCTCTCCACATGCCTGGACCATTTCAACTTGCCTCTACATAAAACTTCGCCAATACAGTACTCACCTGCCCTCTTTATCTCTGAACAGGTCCTCCTGTCCTTTACTGTCACACTGTACATTCACATCACCATTCTTATTTTGGCTCATTCAAGATTGCTTACATTATCATCATCTTTAACAGCCATACAACAATACACTTATCACACCAGACACATAGATTCTTCCTTTCACTCAGAGGGAAGGTCATCTTACCATCAATGAGGAAAAGAAATTGATAGTAACATGAAGTGGAAAGATATGATATTAAATGTCTAGAGTAAGAGGTAATACAACTTGAGTATTGCACTGCCTTACTCTTGGGGTAGTTATGAGAAATAAAATTATCATATCAGATGCATTGTGTGCAAAGCTAATAATGCCATATATGAAATGAAAAAAAAAGTTTATTTTGGACCTATACTATTTTGAGTACTCACAATTATGAGGAAAAATATTTTGAGTTAGCCTGGTTTTTTGACATTATTGTTATTAATTTCCACCAGTTTGTTTAATTTAAAAAGAAAATCTTTGGGAGTGTCTCAAAATTACCTCTAATTTGTTTTTTCTTTATAAACTGAGGAAGGTGTGCAATTATTTAGGGATAGAACTTGCCTTACTGTGCCTTTTCCTTTTTTTTTTATGGGTCGGTGTCACTCATAAATCCTTTCAGATTAGTGCATGGTATTGGCTCTAAAATTTGGCCTGACAATTTCATATTGTATTTCATATATATATATATATATATATATATATATATATATATATATATATATATATACAGTACCTTCTTCAATGATTATTGTAAACTGGTATAAAAAAAATATGTTTCAAGGTAAGAAGTGTTTTCACTTAACTAATAGACATTAAGACATCTTGAGACATAAAGGGAAAAAATTAAATCAGTTCATGTTAGAAAACGTAAGTAAAAGTGGTGTTATAAGGAAAATTGTTGATCTGCCGTTTCTTCCTCCCCGGCAAGTCTCACAGCTCCTCGGAGGGGGTATGTGCTCAGTATTGTTACTTTAGTTCCGATGTTATCCCATCCTAGTTTGCATAGTGGAAAGTACAAGATAGAGGCTGTTGATAGTATGAAATGCAGTATCCAGAGAACCATGAAGTGCTTGCACAAGATTTTTTAATCTATTGATCAGGTGTTTGCAGTAAGTTGCTGGAACAGTGCATCCACAGCTGTATGGCTTGATATCACAGAAAAGTAATAGTAACAACCTTATTTCACTGTATATAAGATTGCTCATGTAAACAAATTTATGCTCCTGGAAGACAACATCAACACAGTGAAACTTTTTGCAAGTCTTATGATCAGTTTGTTAAAATATTAGCAGAGCCACCATTTATTTGGTGATGTACTGAACATATAATTTTTTTAAGGTATATTTCACTGCTTCCTGTCCTTGATGTTGTTCCTAATGTAAAACTTAGATTTTTAGAGTATTAATATATTTAAGTGTATTTTATCTTAAAGAAAAAGTAGTATAGGAATTATCAGGATTGCTTAAGGTATTAAGAAGTGAAGAAAGCATTACGTATATTCAGGGTTTATTGAAGAATAATTGGTTGAAATAAAAAGATTGCTGCAGTAGCATGCAGCAGGTTAACCAGTGTGAGGTTGTCTCCCATCTTTTCAGTACAACAACATTCCAAACACAGGATCGCTTGGCTATTTATAAATGTGTCAGGTGGTTGGTGACATGTTTGCTAATATTATAAATGCATGAATTTCTGTATTTAGTACAATTTTGAAAAGCTGTACTGTAGGACATTTGAAAGCATATTTTTATTGTGTAACTAATGTGTAACAATTGATACTTTGACGTTTTTATACACAGCTTAACATAGGGAAATTTAAGATATCTTCAGATAACTGTGGCTGAGCTATGAAATCAAATTTGACACATTCTCTAGGAATATAGTTCATAATACAGGTAGTTCTGCTATAACGCGATAATTGTGTTCTTGTAAAATATCGTGTTATAGAAAATCGCGTAATAGAAATAACGGCTTATGGAGAAAATAGGGTTAGGTGCAGATTACTCGAAATCGAAAAAATTTAGAAGTTAGCCTAACACAAAGCATAGCACAGTCTAAATAAATGTTACATTCATATCTAATAATGAAATCATACAGTAAATGTAACACTTTACCTTGAAAAATATGAATGTAACTTGATGGGGGAGAAGGGTGATTTTGAGGTTGATAAAATCGAGCTTCTCTTCAAGTGTTATATCCTTTCTTTTACGATCATCACCGGGAATTCTATCACCAGAACGCTTCTTGGAGATATTCTTCTTTACCATATTCACAGTTAATACCACAAAATTGGAGAAATAGTAAGCAAAAATCGCGTTATAGCAAACAAGCGTTCGAGTTATACAGATATCGTTCCTAATTAAAAAATCGCGTTAGAGCAAATTCGCGTTATCAAAACACGCGTTATAGCAGAACTCACTGTACAGTATTTCCTTATCATACAAAATAACCTCAATTTTCTTGTTTCTCTTACTCTTGTTATTATCACTTGTCCCTTTTCATTCATACTTTCTTTATCTCTTCAGCTGTCTTTACAGTCAGTTTGATAATGTAGGTGTTTCAGCTTTAATAAGGATTAGTTATATAGAACTGCCTCTTGTGCCTTGGCTAGTCCTAACAACTCTTAACATATCTTGATTTGTTACATTTAGATTAGTATTTGATGCATTGAATTACATTATGTGCCTCTCATTTCACATATGAATATTAGTACATATTTATATTGAGTGTACAGTACCTGATTGTGTGATCTGTTGTGAACTAACTCCTTTATTGAGTCTTATCATTGTTGCCCCCATTGGAGGAGGCTGAGATATGTGCTATGGTGCTTTTGAAATGTATGAATTTGTGAATTAGTGGAAATATTAGTACCATTACACATTCTTTGACATTCACATGATGATGATGTAATATTCATTGTGAAAGCCTCCCCCCATGGTTGCATTAAATTGTCTTGAAATTTTTTAAGAAATTCTTTGGCTTCTTTCAGGGGAGACAGTAGCCAATGGTGATGATAATGAAGCACATCATAGCACAGTCTCGCACAGTAGTAAAGAGGTAAGAAAGTTTCTCCTTCATGTTTGCTTTCATTAGTGTATCATTCATCTGCAGCACAACAGGAAAAACCTTTCAACAATAAAAACTGCCTGTGAGGGGCTAGGTTATACAATTTACATTCTAATTTTTTATAATTTGTTATTAACAAAACTGTATCTTACAGGGTTCCCCAACAAAGGATACCTCCCTAACAGATGACTCCATCTCTAAGGACAAGAAAAAGAAGAAGAAGGGTCTTCGTACTCCTAGCTTCCTTAAGAAGAAGAAAGACAAGAAGAAGGAGAAGGAGGCTGCCCATCAGTAGCACCTGTAACCCCCACTCCTTCACTGACTCCCGTCTCTGGTAGACCAATGCTGGTAAGAGGCAATTTTTTCTTCAAAGTAGCAGTTACCCATATTACTAGTTGTAACACATTATTATTATATTTATTACCATACTTCTTTTTCTACGTATTTGCTTTACCAACCATCATATTTAGAGGTAATTTTCCATACAGTAATCAGGATCAGCTGTTGTTCTTATAATGACAGCCTGTTACATCAGCTGGTCCTAGTTACTTGTGACAAAATTAACAATTGTATATTTCCCCTTATTGATAATTTACATTTGTTAGTTTCATACATTCCTGAGTCTTACTCTTATGATCGTCACACATGATGAGATGAAGCTACTGCAGTCAGCATGCTGTCACTACTAAACCTACTTTATCAACCATACAGTGATGGCTTATTTTGTTGTACTTTTCATTTTTCCATTTCTTGTCTACCAGGATTTTTCCTTTCGTAAGTGAATGCTGTGTACTCTTTTCATTTACATGGATCATACAAGCATTAAACAGTTAGGAGAGCGAACTGCATCACTTGCATGTTAATCATAATCTCTGCCAAGATCCTACCTAAACAAGATATATATACCCTTTATGAATACAGTATAGGGGAATATAGCAGTGATGCTGTCCATCCATGCCAATTTTGTTTCCTTTTCTTAACTTAACATTAAAGCAGTGAACTGATTGAAGTTTAGGTGGGAAAGTATATTATTACAGGTTCTTGTTGTGATTATTATTGGCCATATTTCTAGCCCTAATAATTTAGACTTATTGCCACAGATTTTGATAATTTCAGATAGATTGTGACAAAAATGGTTTCTGTTTAAAAAAAAAATTACACCCAGGCATTTCTCTCAAATTTTTTGTCCTTAACTTGTCAGAAGTTAGAAAATGAATCTCGACCAAACTTGGCAGGGAGGATGATCTACTATTGTAAATGTGAATGATTTTACCTAGGTTATTTTTACCAGAGTTTTAGTCCATTTTGCACTTAGAAACTATAATGAATTATATATAATGTTTTCAACTGTTTAAAATATTTTTTTTATCATTAGCAAACAAACATTGTGGGAATGATCACCAAACATATACAGTACATACTGTTTTTCCAGACACTGCCAGAACCTGTAGATAGCAAAGAAGAATGTGTTGTGGGAGCCCTTGTGTGGTGCTGGCGAGAGGCGTGCTGCTGCTGACATTGTTCATCGGATCCAAGACTTGTCATTCAAAATTTTTTGTCAGCTCTTAATATTTCCATGTTATTTCCTTTTCCTTACATTCAGTTTTACAGATAAGGCAGTGTTAGTGATTAAAACTATGCTTTACTGTGTATATTTTTAGTGGTTACTTTTGTAGTATGTAGATATGATTTTTATTTTATATTTCTTTTCTTTCTTTTTTTAACCCAAACATTTTATGTTTGAAATTGAAGAAGCTAAATGCAATTATAGCTTTGTAATGTTACAAATAATTTTTTTTACTCATTAGGCTCTCTATCTTTAGAAAAAAAAATTTATACCAGGTTTTTAAAGCTGGTCTTCAAAACTACAACTTTCATTAGAGTGCCTCGAGTCAAGTTTTAGATGCTGATGAACACCTTTATGTCGATGCTTGATGTGAGTGTCTGTGTGTATGGATGTGTGTGACTTGCTAATCTGCAGAAGTCATAATGTGGAGGAGCAGTACACCAGTGATGTATGTAATGCCTTGGTTGTTTCTTAACAATACCCACCTGCTCTCCAATATGTAGCACAGTCTTCAGGTCAGTTTGTTCTGATTCCCTGCAAAATTATGGCAGTACAATCACAGACCCCATTTACAGTGTGGTAACTTAATCTGGCCTGTAAATTGGGTTATAAAGTAATGACCTTCATGATTTTATCATTATGAATGAATGAATGCACACTAGCCCCATTTTCCTCTTACTCTTGTCCTTCCACGGATAGTTGTTGGATCAGCAGTCTCTCGTCTCACCCTAGCAAGTCTCACCATTTGCACTAAATGGTTCACATGTTGAAGAGAGACTAACAGTTGGCTCTTTGCTCTTCCCTCCCCTCCCTTGGTTAGATGATAGCCCTCATTTTTTGAGAGCTAAGTGAAAGAATCTTTATAATCTTTTTTTATGAGTCTGACCCCAACTATTAAGAATGGAAGGACCACAGTATCAGCTGGGGACGCCCTTCTACTTTTGTCATTTCTGTTTTTATCAGCTATAGTAGACCCATTGGATACCACCACTGGGATCTCTTAAGCTGCTACATCTTCATCCTTCCTGTTAACCTTGTAACTTATGTCCAGAAGAAATTATTTGTTGATGCAGATATCTGTGACTGGTCAATGCTTGGGTCACCATTTGTATCATTCAGTTGATGTGTCTCAATCCAGTGGACTTGAGTTTACTCAGAAAGCCCATGAGTACAGGAGTTCTGTTGCTTCCTAATGACTACCAGGAAATTGGTCAGTTACTTTACTAGTTCCACAAGTTGAGATACTTAGCTGGAGATACTGGAGGTTGTTGTAGGACCACTTTTGTCTTCTCTTGCTGCTAGAAGGTGGATTGTTTAATTAGCTACACATTCATTTTTTAATCACAGCTTAGCACTGTTTTATATACATCTGTATTATAGCATCTAAATAAATCATTATTATTATTATTATAATTATATGAATATGCAGGCAGCTGATTTTAGCTTGTTTTGGAAAGAAAATAAAATGTCCCAATTTTACAAATTCTAAGTCGTTGTTCTTTCATTCCACAACCTATTGTGTATGTTTTTTATGTTTGCTTATTTGGGAGTAAAAAGTTTTGTATATCTAAGGGGCCTTATACCAACGACATCCTTATATTCGTTGAAATGTCTGATTTGTAACATGACGAGTCTTCTTTCAGTGTATGAGCTTTTTCATCATTATAATTATTAATGCTGCTGTATTTAATAAAAGGATAAGCAACTATTATTTTCACCCAATTTTGCTTTATCCCCATACAGTATCCTTGTAAAATATAAAATCTATGTATTCGCTGATTATAAAATTTTCCTTTCTGTACGTACCGTACATCTTAACCGAGGTATGAGCGTACATGTGGACACAAGCATTAAAGAGTGGTTATAGTACAATAATTGTTCTTGAACTTGGTAGAGATAACCTAACTATTTATTTTAGGATTTTCCCTATTAAATGCTTGGTGGCTAAAAGTGAACATATATACAGTATACATATACAATAGTCCCTTTATTCATAGATGTTCATTTACTCCTGCTGCTATAAAAGATGTGTTCTGTCATGTTACTCACCTTCCCCAAAAAGGCCCAGATCTGATTTACCCGTCACTTCACACAACCCAACAGCAAGTCCTTCCCTCCATACATACGGCTTGTTTGTGCACACTGCTGCTTCCTAGGTGTTATCTTTTAATTTATAGTAGCATCTTTCACTCCACCTTTTCACAATGGTTTTCTGCTATCCACTTCTGACATAAATTCTTTTCAACAATCTTTCATTTACTTAACTTTCACACATTTCATGCTTATTTTTCTTATTCTCAACATCACATAAATCTCGAGCACATTATTCTTGATGATTCTATTTTTTCCTTGCTCTCCAAAATTTATGCTTCACACTTGTATCATAATGTTGGCTCATCATTTCCCATGTACATTCTCATCTTAGTCTCTTTGAATATAGTTCTCTCTCCATACATATATCAGTCCACGTATCTGTTTTGTTCTGGTTCCCTTTGGTTCAGTTTACCATTCATTATTCCATTGTCTGCTGCAGCCACTCTTATGTATCTGAAATATGCTACTTACTTTATCCCTATTCAATTAATATTTTTCTATTTGTTTTCATTATTTTTGTTCACATTTACTCGACTTTCTCCAATAAACTCCTTGTTTGCTTACACCTGAGGAAAGACAAAAGAGCCCAATCATCCTCTCGACCACAGTTTTAAGTACCCTCTACAGTAATATTTGCGTTAGCCGGAATCCCTCACCAGGAACTCTCCGATAGCCGGAACTGAAATTTTCTCTGAAAATTTTTCCCAAAGCCGAATTTTCCAGAAAATTCTGGCTTTGGGAACGGTTTTCCGAGGGGCACATTTTCTGGAAAATTCCAGAGATGGGGATTTTTTTCCAGGTTTGAGAGGTGATGCAATGCACAATTTCCTGAATAACAGAGAATATTTTTTGGTTACCCAAAAAATTCCGGGGATGAGGGATTTTTTTCCGGCTTTGAGAGATGAAAATAATAATGCATCATTCTGGAACTTCGAAGAACATTTTTCTGTTGCCCAGAAAATTCTGGGGATGAGGGATTTTTTCCAGCTTTGAGAGAGTCGTCTCGTTACCCAAAAGTGCTCTGCACCAATTGTTCCGGCTAACGGAGATATCACTGAATATTTATATACAGTATTTTCACCAGTTTTTCCTACCATGGTATAAAGTTATAAGTATCCACAGGTTTCCACCATGAAGCCATGTGGAGAGCAAGTGAAATGTGCACAGCATCTTTGCCTTATCTCCCTCCTGCCCCAGCCTGGTCCAACCTGCCTTGGTCTTTCTCACAGTGACCACAGTATCATAAACATGTCTTCAAAGCAGAAATCTAGTGATGAGACTGTTGCTGTAGTAGAGGCTGAGAAAACTACAGTCTTTAGAGCAGAAAGTGGAAGCTCTATAAACTTGCATGTGGTGAAAATGTAGCATAGGTCGGAAGGCATTTTCATGTGAATGATTCAACAGTGAGAACAATAAAGAGAAATTAAGCAGCCATTAGGTCTAGTGTTGACAGCAGGCGGGGGCATTTGGAACAGTCAAGATATGCAGTGTGAAGCGCCATAGCGAGGGGTAGGCAGCATCTCCATTTGGGCTACATTGCTTAGGCGAGGATTGAAGTCAGGCAGCCAGCATAAGTGGAGACTACAATGCAGTATGTGCAGTGATATCATTTTTGTTCCTTTTTTATAATAAATTTTAAAGCATATATTCAGTGGTTAAGAGTTGCAACTTTCATATATGAAATCTATATGCTTGTGACACTATAACATTCACTTACTTTGTATTGCATTGACTATTTTAGCTCTTTATGGGTCTGCTTACTTAAACCTCCGGTGACGTTCATGAACATTCTTTATTTTCATGGCATATTTTGAATGTCCTGGCAGGAGGAATACATTGTATGGGATTTTGTCTAATTGATAACTCAATTAGCGTGTATATGTCTCAAGACTTGTGCCTCCTGGTGAGTTACCTGCCAGAGATTGTGAGGGATGCACGCCCTCTTATGACCCACCTCACTCCTCCACACCCAAGTGCAAGTGAAGTCATTTGGTTTACAGTCTTGCTGTTTATCAAGAATTGCTTGATTTGAGTGGCAATGATGTAGTATTGGGTGACAAAGACAATGATCGGGAGGAAAAAGAACCCAGATGATGTCGAGTTTGTTGAGGCAGCGAGGACAGTGATAGGCCTACAGACAATGGCACTCCCTCCCTCTCCCCACCCAACAAGCCACCATACCTCTCCCCACCCCGCCAGCCACTGTGAACCACAGCACAAATATATGACGACTTGGTGCAAGGAGTGTTGAGCTGTCTTGTGCATTCTGTGTTACAAAGAGTTCCACTCCATCAAGAAGTTCTAAATTCAGTAAAAGTATTGTAAATAGTGTGTATATTTGAAAATACACTAGTGATAAGAAAATAGAGATCAAGTTTTGTGCTGCCTGAATATTCCTACTGTTCAGTATTTTATACTTCTTTTGAAGAAAATATAAATATTTTGTATTTTGTAATACCTATAAGATAGAAATATGATATATAAGGGCCTTCAAGTAAGAAATGTGTGTAACAAGTGCATGTCAATATCACTTCCTGCTCACTGTGGGCTGTGCTCAGTAGCTTCAACAAGACATCTTTCATCACTCCACACTGCTCATCAACACTCCAGACAACTCTCCAACTGTGCTACAATGAAAGTTGAATGTTAATTCATTCTTCTGGTATTTTTCTTATACTGTATTGATTAACCCATTTATAAGGCTTCCAATTTAAGTTAGGATAGAGTACAAACTCTGCCTAATGACTTTCAAGGCACTTATGTTTGGTGAGCCTAAGTAATTGGCCAACCTGCTAAATTCTCTGACAACACATTCCAAAATGATTTTATGTAGTAGTGATGATCCTTCACAACTTTTGAACCTGAAGAGGTACTGGTACAGTGATGGAAAATTTCAGGGTATAGGAAGTGTTACAACAAGGATATACAAATGATACAAGTTGAAATTTCACTTTTGGGGTTTTTTTAGTACAGCTCCTCCCCGACTTACGACCTACTCGATTTATGACCACCCGCACTTACGACCTGCCTCGGTTGTACCAAAATTTTGTAAAATTACGTATTTTCGAGTTCCAACGTCAGTACACAGACAAAACTTTCGTTTGTAATTCACTTTAAAATGGCTGGCAAGCTTAAAAGTGAGAGTTTTGTGGTGCTGAGAAGAAAAAGAGACACCCATTTTAGATTTTCTATGTATTATTTACCTGGATTTGGGTCCCGAAACCCATCTTAAGTCGGTGAGTAGCTGTATTTCTTTTATTCTCAGATCCTTGACTTTGTAGTGTTTCAAATGGTAGTGAATTCTTTAGAAGAACTGATGCTTTTGAGAGACAAAAGACCAACTATTATTATTTTCACTGGCTCAATTTTTAACTTCAGGTAAAATCTTTCCACAAGCACCTAACATTTGTGAACCTTGTGATGATTCACTATTATATATTGATTAATTTTCAGACCTGCAGAGTGCCTCTCTTTATTTCAACAATTCAAAAAATATCTTTTAACTCATGAAGAATATTTTTAAGGAAAAGTAATTTATTTATTCATGCACGAATGAGAGATTAGTAGTAGGTGTAAGTACTAGTTATTGTAAATACACATACATATACTGTACATATAATTTGTAACTTGTCCTCTTATTTTCTTAAATTAAATTATTCAGGGTATTTTGGAAATATGTTTCATAATTCGGGAGATGTCATCCTGAAACATACATACAGTACAAGTATTATAAAAGGGGATCTTGATTATGAATACTGTAATTATGTTTGATATGAATTAACTACACTTCAGTACTTTATACTGATATTTTTTTCACGAATGACATGATTTTAAAACTAGAAAACCAAGTTTTCCTTGAAAGAAGATTCAAATTATGCAGATGAGGTATGTATCTGATGTTTGTCTTTGATTGCCTTAAATCTTCTTGGAATATTATGACTATAAGGCTTATATAACCACTGACACTTGCTAATGATACATTCCATCAACAGGAAAAAGGTGGCCAGGATCATCCCTGCACCAAGTATGAGGAAAGCCATGACCATGTTGCTTAGCTCCATAGCTTGAAACTGTGTACTCTCACAAGTGTCTCTGGTTTTCATCCAAGTCTGCCTGGCTCTGATCAATATACCAGACTCGGCCATTACTCTCAATCTGTAAATTGAATTTAAGAACTAGTATAAATACAGATTTAAAAATAACATTTGAGCAGAATAAGATGAATCTGTTAAAGTTGAATACTGACAGCGAGAATGTTGAAAAAACAACCAAGAGTGTATTGATAATTATCAGTGAATGGGAGCATTATAACTGGACATTAATTTATAAATAGACACAGAGTACATACATAATACAGTAAGACAGTTAACGTGTGTCCAGGTTTGTGTCACATTGCTGAATGTTGAGCACAAACTGTTGTACTTACTGGTGATCAAAGAGAGGAAATAAAGGAGAATTCTTGCGCATTGGCCATGACTTCTGGACCGGAAAGTGCACACCAGGCAGGGCTATAAACCCACAGTGATAGTATTTTGTATAGAAATACACTTCGTTGATGAGGAAGGCATGAGAACCCTCCAGCACCTGGGCTAGTCCATCAACTGTTGTTAAGCTCTTGGGGTTGGTCAAGATCATGTCCCTCCACACCCTCTGCCACACTGGGTTGTTAGCATACTGTTGAGTTGAAATTATATTAGATGTATAATCCTGACCTGGTCCTTCACTTAATGGATTATGTCAACACATATGAGCCATTCCAAGGCCTTATTCCTAGGACTGCACCTCAGAGAGTTTATCAAGGACAAAGACTCGTTATTTATATTGCTCTCACTGACATAATAAGAGTTTGACTTGTTTTTCATTCATATTAAGCTGCCTATTTGCTGCACCTGCTATGTTGCAGGATTTTGTGCATTGAGTACTGTATTGCATTTGGAGCTCCTTTTCACCTCCTTTTATGTTAACTGACTTTTGTATTCATATGTCGTTCTTGGAAGATGCCAAATTACAAATGATGAATATATTCTGAAATTCCATTCTACTGTATAACCAAAACCAAGCTTGGGAGCAACTACTTGGCTACCATCACCCTCCCTGGGGTCATCCTCATGGGTCTGGTCACTGTAAGGTTGGTTATGTTTCTCACTGTAAGTGAAAAACAAGTAGTGCATGCGCTGTGTTATCTTACAACTTCATACTTCATCAACCTTGATTTCTCAGACTCCTAATCTAAGGGATGGAGCATCATAGGGAGATGGACTGATTTCTAGATTAGCCCGAGCCACTTGAGTCTAAAACTTCCCTGGGATCCAAAGAATGGAAGCTTAAGGATTCTTCCAGGCTTACTTATAAATGGGATTTCAAAATCAAACTACTGTACTGTACCATTTCTGTGACTTACCCTGAAGTAGTTTTCCAGTGACCCACCACCATTAAAACTGAAGGTATGTGTGCCAGCCTTAAGCATACTCTGAAAGTCTGTGAAAGGCAGAGTTATCTTGTTTATCGTCAAGGCGGAGACGAGGAAGGATGTGTAGTAGTTGTAGAGCAACACTGATGTCAGCAAGATGGTGATGAAGGCCATCCTACCTGGGAGTCTGAAGAACTGGAGGTTGGTGCCTGACATGCAGGAAATAGTGGCATTGTTAAACATATGTCATCTTCTCAACACATGAAATTGAATATTTATGGCAGCTAATTCAAATGAATAATTTCGTCATCAATAACCCTTTCAAGAGTCCAACTGCAAATGATGAGTTTTGAATGTATCATTTCTGGACAAATAAATAACAGTAAACCCCTCAAGGTGGTCAGCCAATACTTCACAAAGCAGGTTCATTTGTTTCAACTTCACTACAAACCCACCTGTATAATACAAAACCTAATATAACTTGACCTGATCTGACCTAACAACCTATACGTGGAAACACAAGCTCAGGATGATCTGTTTTTGTGCAGGTTCATACAGCACACGGGTGATGGTTAAGTCCACGCCTTGCACACTAACGCCATCTGTTGATCCTGCGGCCAACTATATGCTATGTGGCTTACGTGGTTTTCGCCTTGCTCTCCTGTCCTTCTTATAATAGTTTTTGCCTGGATGGTACTAGGGTGTTCTGAACGTCTGAGTAGAAGTATACAAACACCAGCAAGCTGCATAGAGGAAAAGTCGACTGTTTCTGCTCAGAGTGTGAAGTGCAAGCCTAGTGACAGCTGAAGATAATTGGTGTTCAAGTATTGTGGAATTGTTGTGAGCAATATAAAGTGAAAAGACTAAAGAATTGTACACTGGTAGTGTGCTGACTGTATATATTTGAAGTGAGATCAGTAATGAGACACGCCCTGAGAACAGTTGTGTGAAAATTTAGTGATTATTAAAGAAGTCTACAGTGCACAAGTGTGTGTGTGTGATCTGGTGGAAATCTACCTGCCTGTTGTTTGTCTGTACACTGATCCTGATAGTTGGAAAAATACCGGAGACTGGCGGGACAGCCAGTGGTAATTCGACTCCACTTGTGATATATCTACTGCTTCTGTTTATACAAACTGACCGATGGTAACCAGCGGTTGAAGCTGGTAAGTGGCGAAAGGGGTTCCTAACAGTATTGTTAAGGACTGAATCTAGCATCAAGGGTTTCAATGTAGTTTCTGAAAGACCGGTGGATACACTCACCCATGTAGCACACAGAGGCGATGACAGAGAGAATAATGTCACTAACAGTGATGGGAAGGTCTTGAGACTCACAGTACTTCACTAACAACAGAGTAAATGTTGCCACCACCATAAACACCATCACCATCATCCATGCTAGTGGACTGAACACTTTAAGGTACCTGTCCCACGAATTGCTTGAAGCAGAAGGTCGCTTGATGACTATGACATACCTGACAATTCAATAAAGCAATGAGACAACCAATGTACACTCCCCTGTCATGGAATAAGATGTTTTGTTAAATCAATCACCACCTAATGTTTCAACTGATGATTTGTAGCCAAGTGATTCATTCATTTTATCAACTATTTAAGAGAAGGGTCCATAAAACTAGAGGTCAGTTTACCCTTCATGTGAAAGCCCAAATGGGTAGTGGACGACCTGGGATCTTGTGAAGGTTCTGTCTAGTGGAGCTACGGCCACTTCTGCCTCCCCTCGCACCAGTTGACCAATCATGCCTGTCCATACACCGTTTTGAAAGTTGCCCCACTTCCTGTCTGGGGGAGAGAAACACTGCGACCTGCCCAGGGAACAGACAAGTTAGGTGGACCAGGAAATGACCGCCTCACTTCTGTCTGTTGTTGTTGATGTTATAACTGTGCTACAACTTCCAAGGTATTTAAGCACGTAACTAGTTTAGGAATTACTGTACACTAGTCCATTAACAATTAAAAATCAACCGAGTTATAACTTTCTATTGTAGTTAATCTACTGAAGTACTAATGGCGAGGGGGTTTTACTGTTAAGGTTGCCAGATGTATGATAAGTCTCATAATTATGTATATACAGTATGACAAAATTAAAGTTAATATATTAATGATAACTGTTTTATGTGTACTTTGCAATAAACAATATTTGATCGCTATTATCAACCCCCAGTACATCTTTATTACACAAATATATTATTACAGGTATATAATTTTTTTTTCAATATAAACCCACTAGTTTAAACAATAGGATAATGTACTGTACTCAATTTATGGGCCACTGATATTTAGGGCATCACTACTTTCTCTACATCACATCTCATCATGATATTCACTAACTAGAATATTAATATGTTGTATAAATTAATATTCTGTTCAAAATAAGTACACGAAAAGAGACAATAAATAAAGTGAACAGGTCATAATGTATGGGTGTAATAACCAGGTCACCACCACCTTACGTTTTCATCAACACTATAATTGGATAGATATGTACTGTATATAAACTATGCAGTTATACAGGTCAGCATGAATATAGACAATGTAGGTATACAGTGCACATAGACCGTGGAAGTATATATACAGTTTCCTATGTACTTAGTGCAGGTATACGAAAGTGGTAAACAGTAACACGCATCATGGTAGGTGAGGAGACTATAACATACATCATAGTAGGTGAGGCACTATAAAGACACTCACGTAAAGTTAAGTTGTGCACTTAAGTTGTCCCATACATCACCATATATGCCAGAGATCTTGATCGAGCCGTCTCGTTGTGGTGTGGTGAAGGAGTGGGGTTCACCCTGGGAGTAGTTATAATAATAAATATCATCATTGATTATTAACTACACTGTTTTATAAGACATGAACTGAATATATATATATATATATATATATATATATATATATATATATATATATATATATATATATATATATATATATATATATATATATATATATATATATATATATATATATATATATATATATATATATATATATATTTATATATATATGTGTGTGTGTGTGTATGTGTGAGTAACCGATCGGAATTCTTATTGAGGGTAGTTTATGGATGGTAATGCAGTGACCCCCTCAGAATATGGAATCAGCACAAACAAAATTTAGATATTTACTTTTAATATTTACCGTGACCTGGATTGGTGTTCCTGAGATTGGGGTTAAAGAGACACAATAGGTAATGGTATGATACTTGTATTAATCCTCAGAAACACCTTTAAAGCACTAGAAAAATATCTGCACAAGAAAAAGATGACGTTGGTATTAAACCCCTCAATATACCCTTACATCACTAGACACAAATATTATCTGCTCAGGAAAAATAGTTGCAGGAGCCCCAATGTGACCCAAACCCTGGAACCGTGCGTCCCAATACAATGGATATGACCCCACCAGCTTAGGTAATACTGAGGTCATGAGTCGCGCCTCCCTGAGTTAAATCCCGCTCTCCCCCCTTTAAAACACAACCTCTGACAGGTCCCCCACTTCAGCATCGCCTCAGTAACATGTTCATAAAATAATATAATGGTCTGAAACAACAAAATAATCATACAATATCATAATGGCCTGATATCATCAAAGCCCAATCATCATGCACATACATAAGACATGAACTTATATGAGGACGAGGAGCCACTCATGAGTTATCAAGGGGACGTTTCACCCTTATATAATCAATACATAAACCAATCTGAAATAAGTTTGCCGTTGTAGCAGCCTAGCCCAACTTAACCTAACCTAGCCTAACTTAACCTAGGCTAATCTAACCCAACCAATTTACCGGCAGTGTTGAGCAGGTGACCACAAGACCCGAAAGATCAGACCTTCTAGCCCACGGTTCCTTGGCCATAATAGTGAAGTGACCTTGGCTTTGCTCACGTACTACACCACCAAATGGTGTCCACTGCCCAATACTGGTGATTCTGTGGTGCAGGTGAGGTGCTGGCTGGTACACCTCCCACAGAGTCACATCCTTGGGCGACACTGGGTCCTGGGTGTTTTGAACTGTTGCAAACACAACCTGTGATGAGAATAATGATGTGATGAGCCGCGGTATGTAAGAGAGGGAGATATGAGAGAATATTTTGCTAAGTCCGCGTGGAGGTATTGTGCATCTACTGGTTCCCCCCCCTCCCCTTTCTTTTAGTGATTTTGTCCAGTAGCCTTGCTATGTGTGCTAGTATTTCCTCAACACACTTGCAGTTTTATACACGTTTAATATTAAGGGCTAATGGTTGACATGAAACAGATTTTTTTGTCCTTACAAAACACTGAACACAGCTAAAACTAGCAACGTGTCATCTTTGTACACCTGTTATAACTTCTTAACTAAACAGTGATTTAAGTTATATTAGGGAAATTAAGAGTTTATTAGGATATTATTTTTCCTTCGTTCAACATTGATATTATGTCTGCTGTCATAAATGTTAAAGTGTGACCAGGTGGCATGGCCAGCAGAGGTGCTGTAAGATGCCGTAGAAGTTGGTTTACTATGACTTACGAGCAGCTGCTGTGACGACTCTCTCCCTTCCTCACTCTACCATCATAACAACCACCTGCTCCAACTTGACACCAGGAGAAAAAACTGCTTCACGAAGCTACTCGACCCAAGTGAGTACCGATCAGAACCAGAAAGCTATGGACCCCCTCCCTAGAAAAATGCACATAAGCACATAAACACAGTGACGTAGCTAGAGTGTGTGCCGCCCGGTGCCCTTGATGCCCTCATATTATATTAGATATATATATATATATATATATATATATATATATATATATATATATATATATATATATATATATATATATTAAATAGTTTGTGTACCATTATAATATTACTGTACTTTCACATACTCAAATATAGTATGCTTTAAATACACACCAAACATACTTAAACTTTATAAGTAACAGTTAAACAAAAAGCAAAAACGACATATAGGATAGGGAAAAAAGTAAAAAAAGTGTAAAAAATTAGGACCATCTTTATTTCTGAAATGAAAACTACAACTTTCTACAAAGTAACTTTTCTTGTTTTTTTGTTGGCAAATTCTTCAATGACATTGTCAAAAACTATTTCATCTGTCAATTGTCGCTCTATAGACAGTATGGCAAGATTTCTCAACCGCAAGGTGCTCATATAGATCTTAGTAATTCTGATCAGTTTTAGGTAACAACACTAACAGCAATTGTGAGGAAAATCCTCAGCATTATTACTATATTTGGAACCGAGTTCCCAAGGTTATACTTTTGAATAAACTGCAAAAGTTCAAGGGGGCCTTCTTTCCACGTCTGTATTCTGTCTTTAATAGTTATAGCAGCAACAGCAACAAAATGCTGAAGTCTTTTTCTCTCAACGAGGAACTCCTCTTTATCAATGTCGTCGTGATCGTGATCTATTTGACACTCATATTTATCATCCAAAAGATTCAATGGGGTAAGGAAGGCATATTTCTCAGCAAGTTCATGAAGCTGTTGAAATCTCAAGTTATTTCTTGGATCACTCTGTCCAGCGAAGAAAACATTTCTCTCCTCAATTCAATGTCGTATGGCAATT